AAAAAAAAAAAAAAAAAAAAAAAAAAAAAAAAAAAAAAAGAGTGACTTTCTATTATGGGTCATTTGGAAAACACATTTAAATCCAGATACACTGATAATTCCATTTGTTGACATTTTAATTATTTGCATGTGTGTACAAATGTGTGCACACAGATTTTCTGTCTGTTTGCTTTTTCATAAGCAATTTGTTTGGTTTGGTAGGGGGCTCGGATTGAAGCCGGGTTCCTGTGCATGCTAAACAACCACTCCATTATGGAGGTACATCCACACCATCTTCACCTTGTGCATTTTCTTAATGTCTCCACTTAGCACTGTGCTGTGCACATACAGACATCCCATAAAGACCTCTAAACGGTATTTCAGGTGAAGGGTTTTGTTTGGTTGGCTTTTTAAAGATTTGTTTTAGTTTTAATGATTGTATAAGTGTATAGGGGTGGAGTAAGCACATGTGAGCGCAGTGCCCACAGATGCCACAAGGGGCATCAGAACACTCGCCGCCCCCCCCCCCCCCAGCAGCCCTGATGCAGGTTCAGGACACTGAACTTGGGTCGTCTGAAGAGCAGTTTATTTTCATAGCCACTGAGCCATCTCTCTAATCCCTTAGAAGGAATTCTTTAAACACCACACATAGTTTTGTTTCACTTTAATGAGAACTTAAAGTGTAAGTAAGTTTATTTTATACAGTTTGTTTATACTGTGTATGCCTATATAATGTTTTACTCCTTATATACACAGGACATGTAGAACATTTAATTATGGCCATTTCAACACATCAAGAAAGAAAAGCACATGTAATGAGCCTGGATCAACAGTTATAATGAGACTCGAGAAACCCAGTGTAAGGAAAAACGTTCCAGTGTAAGACCAATCTTTCTCTCCTAATTATAACTGTTTAAACTACTCAGGGAAACAGCTGCTTTAGATGATCCTATTCTTCCTTCTTAAACAGGAGCAGGGGCTGGAGAAACGGTGGTTCAGTAGTTAAGACTAGGTTTTGCTCAAGCAGAACACTTAAATTGCCAGCACCCACGGGAACTGGCTCACGACTGCTTACAACACCAGTTCCAGGGGATCAGAGTCTCACAAGCGCATATCCCACAAAGGCACACATACATGCACATAAATAAAAATAATTTTATCTGGGCATAGTGGGCAGGCCTTTAATTCCAGAACCCTGGAGGCAGAGGCAGGCAGATCTATGTGAGTTCGGGGCCAGCCTGGTCTATATAATGCCAGTTCCAGGACAGTCAGGGATACACAGAGAAACCCTGTCTCAAAACAAACAAAACAAACAAACAAACATTTTTTAAAATGTGGCTGGAGAGATAGCTCAGTGGCTAAGAGCACTGGCTGCTCTGCCGGAAGATTTGGGCTCAATTCCCAGCACCCACACGGCAGCTCGCAACTCTCTGTAAGTCCAGTTCCAGGGGCTCCAGTGAGCTCTTTGGCTTCCGCAGATAGGCACCAGGCATGCAAAAATGATATACAGATATATGTGCAGGCAAAACACCCACACACATAAAAATTAAAGTTAAAAAAATTAACTAATAAAAAATAAATATTTAAGTGCGAAAGAACACAAATGTTCTCCAAAAGTTGAATGACTCTTTCAGCAGCCAATTACCATGTTTCTAAAACAAACCACAGGTTTCCTTGGGAACCACAGAGGCTGACGACCCCTCACAGGTTAACCCTTCTTAAAACATTTTGCCACATTTCTGTTGCCTGTGTGGCTGTGTGCGCGATGGCATGTATGTGGAGCTCAGTGGGCAGCATGAAGCAGTCAGTTCTCCCTCCAGGCGGGTCCCAGGGACTGAACTCGGGGCTTTGAATTGCTGACAGGAGTTTTACCCACTGAGCCATGCTGATCTGCCTGAGAGCTGCTTCTCTCCAAAGGTCTTCGTCCTGGGAACTCACAGAAGATGCTAAACTTTTCCCCTGTGAGGGCCACTAAGGGTTCCTGTTTGAACCTTGTTATTTATTTCGGCATTTAAAGTATTTCTCTTTAAGAAAGCCAACCATAGAGCTGTCCCAACACTGCCCAGTACAAAGGGACACCTGGCTTTCCTGGAGTGGGGAGGGAGCGTTCTCCTCTTTCCTCCCCTGATGCAGAGGGACCTACAACAGCCTCAGAAGGCTTACAAGGGCTCACTTCAGTCAACTGCAAAGCCAGGGCTGGCTTTTCTGGAACACTTACGAGGGTGTACCTCATAAGCAAGGGAAGAGTGGGCAATCCTATAGCTGAAGCCCTGATGTGGGGCCACTCTGCAGGTCACACACAGTGAGGAGCCCAGCCACTAGTGGCAGTGCCAGGAGCCCAATAGGGCTTGTTTTTATGGTCTCTGGTTTCAACTTGGCCTGAAGAGTGTGAGTTACTTGAATAACCCAACTGCTAAATAAACACACGAAGCCCTATTTAGAAGCAGGAAGACACTGTACTGTGTACCTTGGATGCAGGCAGAGGCATTACAAAACAAAGACGGACCATGACAAGTTAAAACTTGCTGGAGGACCATTCCAATTTCTTCCCAAGAAGAAATGAAAATCATGCTCCCGTTCTATCATTAAATACATTTAATTTTTTAAAATGCTTGGCAAAAACCTGACACTATCAAAAGCAAATTCTTCATTTAATTAAAAAAAAAAGTTTGTCCGGGAGTGGTGTCACACGCCTTTAACCCCAGCACCTAGTAGGCAGAGGCAGATGAATTTCTGTGAGTTCTTGACCAGCCTGGTCTACAGAGCTAGTTCTAGGACAGCCATGGATACACACAGAGAAATCCTGTCTCAGAAAGAAGATTTTTTTGTTGTTTTATAGTGAAAACTCTCATGTACCCTCAGGTTAGCCTCAAACTCCCTATGTAGGCAAGGATGAAGCTGAGCACCTGATCACCCTTGCCTCCACATCCCAAGGCATGCAATACCATGACCAATTTTAGCCAGTGCTGGGGATTAAACCCAGGACTTCATGCAAGCTAGGCAAGCATCCTAACAGCTGAGCGACAACCCCAGCCCAAGTAATTTAAATTTTGTAAGTGAATCAGCAGTATATGTAAACACTGTATTCTTTCCACCCCTCAAAAACGATTTCAGTTACAAAAAAAAAAAAAAGTTGTAAAATTCTGTTTCCTCATGAGCACATGAGGCTTGTGTGTGGCGGTCAGAGGTCCACCATGCGGGTTCCAGGCATCAAACTCAGGAGATCAAGTCTTAAAGGCAAGCATCTTCATCTTGCCAGCCCATTACCACAATTATTTTGATTCGGGAAAAAAATTAAATTCTTGGTCTATTTGGTATACGAAAATACATTATGTATAAATTTACACGTATTAAAGATTGTCAGTCAGGCAGTAGTGATGCACGCCAATCTCAGCACTGGGGTGAGGGGGTGGGGAAGGACAGAGATGGGCAGATCTGCAATTTCAGGGCCAGTCTTGCCTACAGAGTGACTTCCAGGACAGCCAGGGCTACATAGAGAAACCCTGTTTCAAAAAATGGGAAAAAAAAAAATCAGATATGACAGAATCCTTATTTCCCCATTGTTTCCTATGGTCTTTTCTAAGACTGCTGTGTTCAGGCACAAAAGACAGTTTTCCATTTTAAGGCTTTCTTTATTCCAAGCTGTGTCCCTTGCTTTTTAAGTAATTGTAGGTTGACTCCTTTGTATTTTCTCTTTCAAAACCAGGCCTCAATTGCTTTTCTTTATTATTTACTTGTTCTTTCTGAGGCACAGCACTAACGCTAAAGAAAGCCCTCCACATGTAATGAACGACAAAAGCTTTTCACAAGAGCGTTCCTGGAAATCTCACCAAGCGGCGAGCGGATCGTGTTTCCTGCACACAATTATGTAGTTAGAAAGGTTTGCAGAGATGCAAAAGCCTGCAATTACTGCCCGCGTCTCCATGGAGCCAGAAATGAGGTAGGATATTCATTTCTGAGCTCTTTCTCAAACTCCCGAATGGGTCAATCTGAAAACAGGCAGAGGAAATTATTGTCTCCTTTTAGAAAGGTGAGAACGAAGAATTCAAAGCTACGTGCTCAAGCGGCTCCTTATTAATATTTATGTCACCTCATTAAATCAGGTCTGTCATTTGGTCAAGTGTTGTGTCAATAAATCATCTTGGAAACGGCAGACTGAAACTGAACTGCTGTGGGGGGGCGGAGCAATGGCGGTGTAGGGGGAGGAGCGATGGTGCAGTGGGGGTGGAGCGAGGGCTCAAAGGTTAAAAATGTTGCTCTTCTAGAGGACCCAAGTTCAGCTTCCAGCACGCATGTCTGGTAGCTGTTGTCAGCCCAGCTCCAGAGGACTCAACACTGTCCTCTTGGTGTCTGTAGGCACTTTGTTTCCAAAGGTTTACCTTTCCTTCCAGACGCCACCCCCCTCACCCCCCCACCCCCTCATCCCCCACCCCCACCACTGTTCCTAGACCCCTATCAGAATCGAGATTCATGGAATCAATAAGACAATGTAACAATTGCTAGAAGCTCTAGAGGGGTCTGTGAAGTCTCAAGAGACACTGATAATGACACCTAACTGTCCCATCTTTAGTGCCTTCAAGTCTCTTCAGAAGCCAGTTACTACCTAGTGGGGCCTGTGAGAACAGAAAATATGGACCTGAAATCACTGAGACTTCAGCATACAGGGCTGGAGAGAAGGCTCTGCAGTTAAGGGCACTAGCTGCCCTGGCTGGGGACCCGTGTTCCCGTGCTGGGATTCAAGGCATGTGCCACCATTGCCCAGCTGATCTCTGTGAATTCGAAGCCAGTCTGGTTTACAGAGCGAGTTCCAGAACAGCAGGACTGTCTTGAAAAATTTTTTTTTTTTTTTTTTTTTTTTTTTTCTTCCATGAGATAGGCTTGGGCTTCGGCTGGCCTAAGATTAGAATTTTTTTCATCTCAAAAGTACCAGGGGAAAAAAAAAAGCCGGGCGGTGGTGGCGCAGGCCTTTAATCCCAGCACTTGGGAGGCAGAGGCAGGTGGATCTCTGTGAGTTTGAGACCAGCCTGGTCTACAAGAGCTAGTTCCAGGACAGGCTCCAAAGCCACAGAGAAACCCTGTCTTGAAAAACAAAAACAAAAACAAAAACAAAAACAAAAAAAGGTACCAGGATTACAGATCACCACTTCCTTCTTAAACTTTTAATTGCTTTCCTCTGCATGTGTGAGTTGAGGGTATGCCAGAGTAACACTTCGATTCCCTACTAAACTCTGCCATATGGACCATGTCCAAATGGAAGACTGAAGATTTTAAACAGAACGCAGGTTTTTTTAAAATGTTTATTTATTTATTATGTATACAATATTCTGTCTGTGTGTATGCCTGCAGGCCAGAAGAGGGCATCAGACCTCATTCCAGATGGTTGTGAGCCACCATGTGGTTGCTGGGACTTGAACTCAGGACCTTTGGAAGAGCAGGCAATGCTCTTAACCTCTGAGCCATCTCTCCAGCCCCAACAGAACGCAATGTTAAAAGCATGCAGCGAGAATATTAAGAATTTGGCAATTTATCATTCCTTAGCTAAAAACAGACTAATGTTTAAAAAATCTTAAGCAGCGTTCTTAAGTCCTAATCAGGTTTTCTCTGTAAAAAAAAAATAAATAAATAAAATAAAAAAAAAAAAAAAAAAAAAGGCCAGCAAAATGGCTCAGAAGGCAAAGGGCTTGCTGAACAACCCTGCCAAGCCGAGCTTGATTCCTGGAGCCTATGCCAAAGGCTGGATGTTGCGGCGAGTCTGTAATCCCAGCACTCCTATGAGGAGGTGGGAGATGGAAAGAGAAACAACCGGAAGCTCTTGAGTCAGCTGTCCTGAAGCTAACAAGACCCTGCCTAAACGAGGTGGAAGGAAGGCAAGAACCAAGCCTGAAAGCCGTCCTCTGACGACCATGCGTGCACTGAGACACACACGCATGCCTGCTCTTATACACAAATTGATCGACTGATTAACTTAATTGACAGATGGCTTGCCAATGTTCTTTGGACAAAACCAAAACCTTTAGTAAATTTGTTTCTTTCTAGAGAAGAGTGTAAATCCAACACGGGCTCCGCGTCACCTCCCTTGGTCTCCCTGTGACACTGATAACTTGCAGTCATCGTCCTTGGTAATCCGGTCACACTCACCTTCTCGGTGCAGGACCTGCCACTCGCCCGCAATCCAGGCCTTCCTGGAAGCGTACAGGATGGTGTAGCGTGTCACAACTGTCTCTGGGCCGTCTGGGGGTTTCCAGGAGACAAGGGCGGTGCCATCTTCTATAAGTGTCACCTTCACCCCCACTGGGGGGCCCGTGGGTGCTGTGGGGACACGGGAATGACAGACAGTCACTCCAATGCTGGTGGACAAACAGAGAACCACAGGCGAGCCTGCACCTTTAATCCCAGCACTGGGGAGGCAGAGACGGGTGGATCTCTGTGAGTTTGAGGCCAGCCTGAGAGGGAGTTCTGGAACAGGCTCCAAAGCTACGGAGAAACCCTGTCTTAAAACAAAACAAAACAAAACAAAACAAAACCAAAAGGACAAAAAATTTAAACATCATAGCTTTTGAGGTTTGTTGTAGTAACAGGAAATAGATGAGGCTGGCCTGGCCTGTAACACCTGACCCTTCTGCTTTCAACCCCCGCCCCCGGTCCAAGAGCCAGGAACAGGCAGCTATCACCATATCTGGTGTATGTGGTACTGGGTAAAACTGAGGGGCTTCATGCCCGCTAGGCAGTCACCCAGCACTCTACCCTACTGAGCTATGTCCCCAATCTAAATTTTACTTTTAGGTTGAAACACTTTTTAAAAACCATAAAGAAGAGGGTAGGGCTGGAGAGATGGCTCAGCAGTCAAGAGCACCAGCTGCTCTTCCAGAGGTCCTGAGTTCAATTCCCAGCAACCACAAGGTGGCTCACAGTCATGTATAATGAGATCTGGTGCCCTCTTCTGGTGTGCAGGCAGAACACTGTAGACATAATAAATAAATAAATCTTATATAGATATAAAAAGGGGGGGGGGGTAAGAATCTAGATAGAAATACCCTAGGTCTAAGGGGCAGGATTTCCAGGACTTTCGAAACACGGTTGTTAAACTCCTAATTGGAATGGCTTATGGCAGTAGGGACTCGCCGAGCATGAGGTCATAGGAACGCTTCCTAGCACAGGGAGGAAAGGGGGCATTACAGTTATACAGGTTATTGCTTCATCTGCTCACCAGAGGAAGTTCCCACTGGTACCAACGCTAAGCTGTAGCTCCTACTAAAACGTTTAGAACAACAGCCTGATAAATAAGGCTTGAAGCAAATGCTCCTGAGACTAAAGGTTTAGCTATTTCCCAAGTCACAGGGAATCGGTGTGTTTACAGAACAGACCCAAATAAAGACTTCTGTGTGAACATCAGGGAAGTCCTGGAGCATCAGCTGACTGCATTGTGGAACGCCAGCTCCCAGGGAAGAGAGGGGCTTTGGTGCTGTGTCCTCACGGGGTATCATCAAACCCGCAGCAGCGTTAGGGGCACGAAACACTACAACCTGAGCCACAGACACCATAGCTGCCCCACAGCCAGGTATTCACTCGGCACTGGGCGCAGCACCTGGCTGCCACTCACAGAAAAATGGGGTCTGAGCTCAGCTCCTAAGAGCATTAATAAGCTGTTTTCAGTGAGCTGAGAACTAAGGTCTGAACATCATGATTGACTGGGAAAAAAAGATTTAAAAGGGACCGAAATTAAAGCTCATTGGCCTGTAACTTTTTTTTCCTAGGAGGAAAAAAAAAAGTCTTAAATATAATAGAGAAAAAAATTCAAAAGTTAAGGAGATGAAGAAGCACATGTCAGCTGGGAGGTGTCGGGGGGGGGGCAGGGCTCTCTCAAAGTGGCATAGATACTTCCATTTGTCTTCTTCTGATCGCGGCTTGCCCTTGAACAGGAGAGTAGCCATCAATAGCTAAGCCTTCTGACCACCCCACAAGTGGTGGTGCTCGTCTTTAAGCCCAGCACATTAACCCCAGGGGAAGCAGAGGCAGATAGACCTCTGGAACTTTGAGGCCAGCCTATGCCTCAGAGTGAGTCCCAGGATAGCCAAGACTACACAGAGAAGTCCTACCTAAAAATAACATTGAAAAAAAGTCCTTAAAAATATTTTTTTTCCTTAAATAAAGAGAGGTGTGATGGCACACAAATCCTAGCACTCAGGAGGCAGAGGCAGGTGGATCTCTGTGAGTTTGTGGTCAGTCTGGTCTACCAACTGAGTTCTGTGATAGCCAGAGCTAGACAGTAAGACCCTGTCTCAAAACAAACAAACAACAATAAAAACCAACTTAAAAAAATATAGTCAGAGGCAGGCAGATTTCTGAGTTCGAGGCCAGCCTGGCCTACACAGCAAATTTCAGGACAGCCAGGATTGTTACACAGAGAAACCTTGTCTTGAAAAACAAACAAACAAACAAAAACAAACAAACTAACTAAACCTATGTAAAGTCCATAGTGGAATTGGGGAGATGGCTCAGTGGTTAGAGCACCAGCCGCTATTCTAGAGGACCAGAGTTCAAGTCCCACCACATCTATGGGAGCTCACAGCCATCTGTAACTCCATCTTCGCCCTCTTCTAGCTTCTGCAGACACTAAGCATGTGCTACGTAGACATAATGCAGCCAAAACACCCATTCCCATAACGAATAAAAGAATGAACACCTGAATCAATAAAGTTTAAGAGATGAACCCCACTGGGAGGTTGCGGCTCCTACCTTCTGGGAGTGTGGAATGGTAGACCACGGGACTCCAGGGACTGGAGCTCTGATCCACATGCAGCCGGACAGCAAATTCATACTTGGTGTTTGGTTCCAGTCCCTGAACCAGCATGTGGGTCTCTGATCTGTTAAAGAGTTAAGGGGGTCGTTAGTGCCAGTTTCCGAGAGTCAATGTATCAATTCACGTCAAGGAAGAATAGTTTCCATAACCGAATGAACGACGAGAACCGAAACTTCCAGACGTTTGAGATCATCGGCTCTGAAGCCAGCGCTCCTGGATGAAGCCCAAGCTGAGCCCGAGTCAGTAAGAAGCGTGAGCAGCCAGGCGCGCCAAGGAGACAGCCGGGAAGACAAGCTACATACGTTTGCAGGTAGAGAACCAGAGAGGCGTTCTGCAGGCCAACAGGGTTACAGCGGACGGTGTAGTTAATGACTTGGGCCGTGGTGAAGGCAGGCCTCCTCCAGTGCAGGAAGATGGAAGAAGAGGTGTTAGCCTTCGCACAGAGACGGTGGGGTGGCGGCGGCGGAGGGACCATGCGGTCGCGAACAGCTATTGGGAGAGGGCAACACGAATTTACTGCAAGGGCTGGCGCTGTAGAGCGGTATAAGGAGAGATGAGAAGACCCCACTGCCAGCGGATCTGGGGCCTTTCTCCACCAGTCTCCTGGTGGTCTGTCCCTGACTCGCTCAAGCTAACAGACTCTTCTGTGAGTTAGACACGTAGTCAATTGCTTAACTGATGAAAAAACAATAGCTCCAGACAGTTTTAGTGTGCATGTCTTTAACTCCAGCTTTCAGAGGACTGCAGATCTGAGATCGAGGCCAGGCTGGTCTACATAGTGGGGGGGAGGGGGGGAGCCAGAGCTACACTGTGAGATCCTATCTTAGAAAACAAACAAACAAACAATGCTTCCCCCCCCCCCAAAAAAAAAAAGAAAGGAAAGGAAAAACAAACTCCAGTGTGGTAGCAGATGTCTTTAATCTTAGGAGACAGAGACAGATCTCTGAGTTCAAGCCAGCCTGGTCTATATAGCAAGTTCCAAGACACTTAGAGCTATACAGTGAGACCCTGTCTCAAAAAAAAAAAAGCCCCTGCAAACAAAATCCCCAATAACAACAAAAACCTAGATGGAAAAGTGAGGTACTGGCCAAAGGCAGAGAAAGCCAGAGCTAGAAGAACACGCAGAAGCAACCAGAAACAACTGCCTCCAGACAAAAGCAGACAAAAGGAATTCAGTTTGCAGGTAACCAACCCCCTTTTCCCAGTTAACTCCCAGCAGTTTTCAGCTTGCAAAATTAAAACAGGCACTTAGAATTTAAACACCCCACTTTTGCAGAGTGCCCACTTATTCAAGATGTGCCCAGCAGCTGGAGGATGTGAAGAAATTACCCCCCCACTCTCACCCAGTCCCCAAGTAGTAGCGGAAACTGAATTTCCAACAAGGGTGGGGGTCAGGGGTGTGTCTGAGACACGGCGTCACTCACACACGCATCCGGGAGTGCTGACTGTCTGGTCAGCCTGGTAGCCATCTTCCATGTTGTTGTACGCCAGCAGCCTCACGTGGTATTTTCTTCTGGGATCTAGAAAGGAAACGAGCGGCCCTCGTTCAGCCCAGCCCTGCTTTGGCGTGAGCACCTTCCAAACACGACAGTTCTAAGACAATGACCCTTCCCCCTTCCCCATCCGGACTCTCCCTGTCACAATCAGCTGAGACACGGCCACAGGGACCATTTGTTCTTAAAGTTAATGTGTTTAACCCAATTTCAAACCGCCATAAACACCCCTCTTCAAATGGCCAAATTTTCCCTGACATTTTTTTATATTTGATTATAAATTATATTTTATTTCTTTCTTTCGCACGTTCGTGTGTGCATGCCGTCATACACAGGCAGAGGTAAGAGGATAACGTTGAGTCCGTTTTTCTCTTTCCCTTCTGGGAGTTCTGGAAATCAGTTTCATGAGGCTTGATGGGAAGCAACTTCATCGGCTGAGCCATCTCACCAGCCTTAGTTATTCATGTTTAAAGGATAGGGTCTTACCCAGGCTGTTTTCAAATTCTCTATGTACCCCAGGCTAGGCTTACATCTCCCACATAGTCCAGGCTGGCTTGGAATTCTACCCCCTCCTAACTCAGCCTCCACTCCATGATAGGTCCCCCAAATTTATTTTATACAGATGTGTTTTGCTGTAGCAATTACATTCAAGAGTAGTGTTTTCTCCCTCAGAGTTAGGGAGAATTAGGACAAGCACCCTTCAGTAGAACCTCTGAATATTTCTAAGTGGGTTTCTTTCAAGAAACCTCCATTTTCAAGCTCATACATAATTCAAGACAGGTGCGCTGGAGCGCCCTCTAGTGGACAGGCGCAATGCAGCGTCCTCTACTGAAAGGCGTGCTGGAGCGCCCTCTACTGGTGCCTGTTAACTATCACAACATTAAAATGGAACCCATTCCACATTTTTAAATGTGCATGAATATTTATTTAAAATATTTTTTCCTTAAGCAAATAAAACACATTGTCATTCACAACACACTTGAGTAATTCATAGTTGTCTTAAGGGTATACACACACAAAAAAAACTCTTAAAAATAACTCCACAGTGAATTTAAATATATATATATATAAAGCTTGAAAAATAAACACATTTATGAAATTCTCCAAAGTAATTTTAAAGATTTTACATATTTACTTTAGAAATTGATACTGGTACTTTATTTAATATTTTATTTATTTAATAATTAATATCAAATATATTATTAAAATATATTTAAGAAGATGTCTTGGGCAGGCAAGAAGGCCTAGTGGGTAAAAGTGCCCACTGCAAAACCTGACCACCTGACTTCAATCCCCAGGATCCACATAGTAGGACAGAAAACACAGTCTCAAAAAACAAAACATCTCTGTGAGTTCGAGGCCAGCCTGGTCCACACAGGGAGTTCCAGGACAGCCAGAACTACATTGGCCATGTCTCAAGAAAGGAGAAAACAAATAAAATCACAAACAGAAAAATATTCAACCAACCAAAAGATGCAGAAAGATTTCCCCCGCCTAAAAACCCTCTTGAAGACATAAGCATACATCGTTCCCCTTATAAGATCAGGTGGTAGGAAGGCGGCTCAGGGCCACACAGAGCTGAACCGAGAACTGGGAACTTATGACTAGATTCGTATGTTCTCCTCTGTCCCCGCTGGAGGCGGCTACATTAAGAAGCTCAGGCTGGCCTTGAACTCACAATTCTCCTGCCTCAGCCCCCACGTGCAGTATTTAAAGGCTACCACTCTCGGTCTGGACTGTGACTCTATGACAAAGCACAGGGCCTCTAAATTTGCACAAATACATGTTTCTACATCAGAAAAGTAATGTCTGGGGCTGGAGAGATGGCTCAGAGGTTAAGAGTTCAATTCCCAGCAACCACATGGTGGCTCACAACCGTCTGTAATGAGATCTGGTGCCCTCTGCACCAGATAAATCTTTAAAAAGTAATGCCTGCTATAGTCAATTTCAAAATAGAACACACAGAGAACTGAGAGCTATCAGACAAATTTTTCTAATAATTTATTTTTATTTCATGTTTATTCATGTTTTGCGTGCTTGCATGTACGTGTGAATGTGTTAAATCCCCTGAAACTGGAATTACAGGTAGTTGTAAGCTGCCATGTAGGTTCTGGGAATTGAACCTGGGTCCTTTAGGAAGAGCAGCCAGTGCTCTCTCAACCACTGAGCCATCTTTCCAGCACCAGACAAAACAAAGAACACCTGGATTTCACAACCCAAATAATTTCCAGCATTCAGCATCCAAATTCCAAAGGTTTTGGTTCAGATTAACGATTCAAATCTAAATCTATTTTCTTCTGTCTTTCTTTCCAAACCATCTACTGAATCTGTCAATCAGCTGAACCCCAGGTTCCACCCTGCACACATTCTGTGTTGTTACTAGAGGAACGCTCTGAATTCAGAGCGCAGCGTTGGCAAATCTTTCTGTACTCACAAAGAGGTCGGGTCTTTGGGAACGACTGCTGATGGGAGAAAGCCATGCCAGGGATGGGCAGACCCAGGAAAGGGAAGACGAGACTGGCCTGCCTCAGAGCCCAACATAGTACAGCCATTCTCACAGAACACTCGCGGAAGGAAGAGGGCTGTTCGAATGAGTGGAGAGCTCATTTCTGTGTTCTCGTGTGTGTGTGTGTGTGTGTGTGTGTGTGTGTGTACACATGTATTCAAGTGTGCAGGTGTTGTGCATAAATGTGTCCTCATGTGGCCAGAGGTTGACACTGGGTGTCTGTCTTCCTAAGTTACCTCTCCATGTTATTTTTTGAGGCAGGGTCTCTCACAGAACCTAGAGCTTACTAATTCAGCTCCAGGGATCCACTTGAATTGGTCCACTCCTGGCTTCTATGTGGGTGCTGGGGTCCCCACTCAGGTCATCATGCTCGCATGGTAAACATTTTACCGACCGAGCCTAGTAGCACATTCCTGTAATCCCAGCACCGGGAAGGCAGAGACAGGATTCCTGAGCTCGCTGGGCAGCCAGTCTACCCATCCAGTGAGTTCCAGGTTCAAGCAATCAAGGAAGACAGCCTTTGGCTCCACATACATATGCATGTGCGTGGGCAAACACACACACACACACACACACCCCTACCTGAGAGTTACCAGGCTGAGATTATCAGCTAAAGATGAAAACAGAAAGATACCTCATTAACGGAAGGAAGGGTACAGACTAATAAATCAAGCATGGAAGACTAACATTCAAAACAAGAGGCAAAAGCAGAAGCTTAAACTGGACAAAACAGTGCAAGTTCTAAACCTGAGTTCTGCAGACTTCCCCTTGGGGGAGCAAAGAATGCTGCTTGGAAACAGGTCCCAGGCTGTCACAACCCTGCTGGAGTTAAGTACTGCGACACACACAGCGCTTGGTCTCACGACACTGGGCAAGCTTAGGCGGAGTGAGGAGAGCAGCCACAAAGGGTACCGTAGGCTTTCTCAGGAAGGGAGGAAGAGAGGAAGCAGGACAGAAAGAACTAAGGCCAGTTACCGAAGTCAATACAAGGGGCAGAAATTCACCACTCAGGTCTATTTCTTTAATTTTATTTTGAGATGGGGTCTCCCTATGTGGCTCAGGCTGGCCTTGAACTCACCATCTTTATACCTCAGTCTCCTAAGCAGTAGAATCACAGCCACGAGTCACCATAATGGAGCAAAGAGGTAGCATTTGATCTGTTGGTTAAATTTGTCTGGAGAGATGGCTCAATGGTTAAGCATGCTTCCTGCTCTTGCAGAGAAGTTCAGTTCCTAGTACCCACAATAGGTGGCTCACACCGACCTTTATAAAACTTCAGCTCTACTGGACATGGTGGTGCCCGCCTTTAATCCCAGCACTCAGAAGGCAGAAGCAGGTGGATCTCTGTGAGTTCGAGGACAGTTTGATCTATAGAGTGAGTTCCAGGACAGGCTCCAAAACTACAGAGAAACCCTGACTCTAAAAACCAAAACCAAACCAAAACAAACAAAAAAGAGTATCTGACACCCTCTTCTGGCCTCTATTGGTAATTGCACACATACACATAATGTGCCCAGACTCTTGCCCCCCAAAGAGAGACCACCAGGGAACGGGGACTTGGGGACTTAAATGCAAAAAGCAAGGTTTATGCCAAAGTGCAGTGTGAGCCTAAGCAAGGAGCTCATCCATCCAGCACCCTCAATGCAGGGAGGGCGGGAGGAGCTCCCTTCCAGAGATTACAGGACTTTTTATAGGCAATCTTGCAGAACCACCAGTTCTCACCTCATTTGCATACCCAGACCCAATTGAGGACAGCAAACGATTACAAAAGAGCTGGAAGTTCAATAAGCATGATATCATTATGCAAATGAAGTATGGACATAAGTATGTTCTCCGGTGACCCGTTCCTACCTGTCCTTGGGGTGTGTAGATGAAGAATACTATGGACAGTGAGCACTTTTTAACCACTAAGCCATGTTCCCAGCCCTTACTTTTCCTTAGAGCATTTGCATTACGTTGTACTTTTTATGTTGTGCACATGTGATGGGGAACCTCCTTCAGCCAATGACCTTAGAGAGGCTAGACCATGTGGTGTCGCGTTCCCCTCCTTCTGACTCATGTACATCTGTGCGGGGACACACGTGCCACGGTGAACACGTGGAGATCAGGGAACAGAGAGCACCTATTCTCTTCTCCCACGTGTGTGCCAGGGACCTAACTCAGGTCGTCAGTTCTCACATCAGGTGTCTCTAACCACTGAGCCATCTTGCCAGCCTCTGCTTTTACTCTGACACACCGAAGGAGACACCAATAAAAAACACTCCGCTGGGTGTGGTGGCGCACACCTTCAATACCAGCAGAGGTGGGCAGATCTCTGGGAGCTCGAGAGCCTGGTCTACACAGCACATTCCAGGCCAGCCAGGGCCATGTAGTGAGAACTTGTCTCCAAACAAAACAAAACATCCACAAAGAAACATTCTCTATGTGTCCCTTCCTAACTATCTAGATCCAAGCAAGTTCCTCTTCTTCTAAGCCTTGCTTGCAGTTGGAAGGTGGAGACATAAGGGGACCCTGTCAGTAG